TTAAACCCTTACGAAGAACATCTTAAGAAAGGCGTTATTAAAAATGTAAAAAACCTGTTTGGTATGGTTTTCAAACCTGTTTGCCTTACAAAACTGAGAGGAGGGGAAAAGTACTAGAAACATCTTCAAGTTGAAAACTAATAGAAACATCAAATGTATATGCATTTTTGACATCAGTTATGAAAAGATTTCTAAAAATATATATATTGAGGGAAATCATTACGGAACACCTTAGTTGGATTCAAGTCTCCGAATATTTGCTTTAAAACGCAATCCAAAGTCAAAAGTTTGGAACACAAAAATGGAGTGACAACTTGGAATAGGTCATGCATACAATTATTTATATTATTTAGAAAACTATAATTAAAATAAATTTTGCTTGGAAAAATGTTTGCAGTTTTGAGAAGAAAATGTTTTTTTTTTCAAGCCAGGGACCTGCCAGACCAGAAAAAACCAAGGACCTGCGCTTGCTAACTTCATTGTTATCGAAGTTCCTTTAGCATTGATTCGTGCTTCTCGCTCGCTGCTTTATTTGCTCATTGGATACTTGTGTAGTTTAGTCTAGCCTCGAATGTAAGCTAGTAATCTTTTTCAAATGAACTTCTAAAACTATACAGTATAACTGTTAAACTGTAAAATTATCAAGTTCTAAAACTATATAAGTTTGATTTCTAAACATTTTATTCTGTTTAAATACGTTATGATTTGATTCATATACTTACTACTACTATTTAGAAATTACATTTAGATAAACTAAGTCCTAATCCTAATCAATTCCCTAAAAAAATAATTTTTAGTGTTTGTAGATACAGTATTGTTCAAACATAAATTTATAGATAATATAAAAACCGAAGAAAAGGTTTAAAAAAATAACATATAGTAGTTATAAAGTAGATTAAAACGGAGGTAGTATGATAAAAGTAAAAACATTAGATTGATGGGCAAAGTATTTTAATCAATACCTTCAATAAAACACCATTTTTTTTAGAACAAAAATCCTTTTTTTTAAAAAAAATAAGCTTGAATTTCAATGTAAGCTGAAATACATACAACTTCTAAAAATTGTAAATTATATTCAAGAAAAGCACATTTAAAAATAAACTGTTTAAGATAGTCCTGAAACAAATATAGTAACTAATTTTATTATTTATTCTCTTGCAATATTTAGTAGAACAAACAGAATTACCAAGTATTTTGTTTTAATTTTGCAGAAAATAATCTTACTTTATGTAAAAGGCTAGAAATCAGCAGAAGAAAAATGAGATGTTTTGAATTTACTTGCTATGCTGTGGGGGCAGTTTATAAAGAAGGTATTTATAACAAAACTTGTTGACCTTTTATTTAATGTGCAAACATTTTTGTAATTTCATTTCACAAAAGCCATCCTGCAGTTTAATAGTTTTTGAAAACAGAATTTTTTTTTTCCTGTAAGTTTCGTACTTGGAAAGTTCAGTGGATGAAAGTTCTAACAGATATTTTAGAGAATTTTTATAAATTATATTTCATATGCAAATATTTTTATAATTCATTTTCAGAAAAACTGTGCAACATAAAAAAATTTTTTTTCCCTACAATCATATTTTATTTTAAATTTCTTATTTGAAGAGTGGATGAATAACTCTAAAAGGTCTGGTTTCTTAGGACAAGCGCCTTATCTGAGCGTCAGCGGGACGTCAACGTCCCGCCGACGCCAACAAAATACTGGTTTGTTAGCTCAAGGCCTGGTTTCTTAGAACTAGCGCCTTATCTGGGCGTCAGCGGAAAGTTGACGTAGATCTGACGCCAAAAAAATACTTTTTTGTTAGCTCAGCGTGAGCAGTCGGTCCAACGCAGACATTATCTCTCATTGCGCATGCGTTAATAACGTAAACAAATATTTATTTTGAATTTGTATTGATTTTGTTATTGTCGACCAGTGTTTTAGAGAACAAATAATGACTTTGTCCAAGAAAAAACACATTATAGCTGAGCTAAATGAAGAGTGCTATGTTTAATGAAGAAGCTATGTTTAATGTCAAAATCAAAATCTTGGCTGATTTCAATGTGCTGTTGGATGTTGTCCGCCATTGCTTCTGTGGTTAACGTCACGTTGTAATCCAACTGCAGTTGAGTTGGACGGCAATTGTAGTTCAAGATGAGCGTTCGATGACGTATACTATCAAACTCACAAACGGACCAATCAGAGGTTAGCGCTGATTTCCAGCTGACGGCGTCCTGTCCTAAGAAACCAGGCCTTAAGAGATATTTTAGTCGAATTGTGCAAACTATGTATATTATGTATGCAAACATTTTTATAATTTTATTTTGGAAAAGCTACGCTAACGAACAACAGTTTTTTTCCAACGAAACTATCTTCTAATTGTAAGTTTTTTATTCGAAAAGTTGAGTAGCTCTCAAAATGGTTGAATAGCTCTCAAAAAATAGCAACTTATTACTTTTAAGTTTAATTTTCTATGATTTTTTTTTATCAAAATGTACTGTTAAAATGGTGGCTTTTGGCAACTATTCCACTAACTTCATGAAATTGAAATTCATCTGTGTTTAATGGTTAAAAAATTAAAAATTCTTTCAAAACTAATTGAAAAGTGGTAATTATCTTTTAAATTATAATAATACAACTTTTACATCTTCTTTATACCCTGCTTGACAATTGCTAAGGAACAACTGATTTATGCAAAGTAGCGTTTCCGTCAGCCCACCAATCACCGTAAAATTAACCGCAAACGGCGGGAAAAGCAGGGCCTGTTATCTGTATAGCTCTTCATTCATTTGAAAACTCATGCAGTTGGATGTTTAACCTATATAGTGCCGTAGTAGGTTGTTGAACTTATTTCTGTCAAATTCAAGGTGGTTTTGCGATAATTAAGTGCAAAATATAAGCTCGATGCATCTCGCTACAACAACGCCATCATCGAGAAAGATTACGCTGGTGTGTAAGAAACGTATTGGTTGTGGTCACCAACAGTGGTCCAAAGTGATGTTCTACGACGAAACCCGTTTATCTGTGACTCAGGCGTGCTGGCGTGGGCAGGCGTCATGCACAATGGCAGAACACGGTTTCGCATCTTTGAGCGAGGTAGCGCTACATCCCGGTGACATTCCAGCGATTTTATTCTGGAGCATTTTCTTCTTTTAGGTGTGTGCTAGGTTCAGAATTTTCTGTTTATAAACCACAATACGCGGCCACACAGGATTTCTGAGGTATCAGACACACTAAAAGATGAAGGTTTTGTCCGTATACAAAGGCCTGCGTTTTCTCCGGACCTGAATCCTACAGAGCCTGTCTGGGATGCCCTCGACAGGTTGTGTTTCACAAAGAACGCGCCCTTCTCGAACAGTGTAAGAGTTAAAAACCGCCTTGAGAGAGAAATGGGACGATATAAATCCCCAAGGACACCATGATAGCTTAGTAGATAACATAAATAAAATAGGAAAATCATGCATTAGTGTTAGAGGTAATCATAACTCTTAATGAGATACTCATACTTGTTTTATTCTGGAAAGAACACCCATTTTTCGTGTTGAAATCGTCTAAGGAGCATATTTTTTATATTTAATTTTCGTATTTTTCAATATGACAATATTTGTACCATTTTGCATTATAATAAATCCACATTGTCGCCTCTAAATATGTACTTAGTTTCATTTCTTCAATCTGTTAGTAAATGTTATCTGTTATTAAATATTCCACAAAATATATCTGTTCTTTAGTAATTGTCAAGCAATGTATCTTTTTTATGGCAATGAAATACCAAGTGCTCATTAAAATTTTCAATCACTATATTAAAATTTTTTTTTTTGTATCTTTCTGTTAAAAGCGGAGCAAAATGCATTAATAGAGGCCATTTCATCCTTCTTTGCTATAGGAATTCTAGCGGCAGGTAAGAATACACCATTCATTATACATCGTGCATGTTTTATACTCATGAATATTTAATAGAAGTTATACTTCTGGTCCTCAGATGACTATATAGTGTCGTCTTTCTGACACCACTGTTAATGTTCGTTTTCCTCATTGGCATCCGACAACGTATTACCATCCTTTGTAATTTCTCTGCGTTAAGTTCGTGCCGTAATCAGTAGGTAAAAATCTTTGTTGAAAGTTTCTGTCAACTGAAGCATATCCGAGTTCCTTTTCTTCAGAACAATTTATCGGAGACGAAGCCGATCACGGTCTTGGTTAATTATTTTCGAATGAGAGTTATTGTCTTCCAAACAATGTTTGTGACTTCTGTTTCAAATTTTTTAAAGCCAGTTATATAAATTGCAATAATTCTGGATGAAATTACGATATAAATTACCGGTAATTTGAATTTGTCATCCACAAAAGATATTTTTACCTTAAAATATAATGCCGTAATTTTTACTTTAATACTTATTTAATTAGAGAGATTTAGTGATTTTGCGGTAATTACTACCGTAAAAATTACGGTATGTCAGATATTTTGTTTTGCAACATGTTTTGGTAAAAATGGATTTTACTGTGGTTTGATCCAGAATTTCTTACAGTGTGGCTGTTTTTGAAAATCTAGCGAGTTCAGCTGTCTTCACAATTATGGTTCCTGCTAAACGGGAGCCCAATATAAGCCCTCTTTTCAAATCGGATCGGATCGGATGTTTTTCCCTTCAACTCTGCGTTTTTCATGAAATGCACTAACACACCTTTCTTAATTCAGCATTCTGATGTGGTATCATCCACGTTAAAATCAGACTTTGCATACCTATCTTCTATTATAGCATTTAATGAAAATTCTCACAGATTTCTAATTCATTGGCCAGTGCGTGTATGGAATTCTCTATCCTTATGATGCACCCTATCTCTCCCAAAACATTGATGTAACATTGAGACATCCAATTTGACACTAGGATTTCTGGGTTAGGAACACTTACTTTGTGTTAATTAATTTTTTTATGAACTAAGTTTATTTCTATGCAATTTGTTGTATGTCAGATCATTAAAACATTTCTAAACATTTTAGTAATATTTCAGGTTTCATCTTCTTAGATGGATGCAAAGCCTGCACACTAATTCCAGTCATGTTGGTATGTTCTGGAATCATGGATTCTATAGCCAGTATCATAAGTCTTGGAATTATATTTAAGAACAATAACAGGAAATGTTTATGCTGGAGAGATGCTACTCGGGCGATTCGTTCTCTAATGCTGGTCGTCCATGCATATGGTAAGCGCAGTATCCATAATCTGTATTGAAACGTTAAATTCAGGTTTCAATTTCAACATAAGCATTATTCAGAAAACCTATTTTTGCAATCATATACAGAAAAAAAAATTAAACATCAAAGAATAATCTTTATTAAATAAAACGCTAATACGTACGTATGCATCAATAAAACCGATGATATTTCTTTTCTCGCGTTGGCAACAGTTTTCATTTTTAATTGATGGGCTTCGGCGCGCAAGAGCACGTAGTGAGCATCATGTGGCTAATCTATATTATTTAAAAAGCTAATACGTTTTAATTGATAGGCTTCGGCGCGCAAGAGCACGTAGTGAGATTCTCGCCGAATTATCAAAAAAATTCTCACAAAATTATCTTCATCGAAACCGATGTTTTACATCCGGCTTTCAGTACTATTTCATATTGTTTTACAACACATGGTTTTAGCCCTCTGGTGGGAAAGACTTTAAAACAAAACTTACAACAGTTACTTTTCTCAACAACTGAAATTTAGAATAGTGTGATTAAGAAAAATATGTGAACTGTTTGCAATTTCAAATTAATATTGAAATGCACAGGTTTAGAATTTTCTACAGTGAAAAGTTTTCGGAACTTCAGTGTTCAAAAAAGTATACAAAAACTAGACGTTAAGAACGTATCCAATGCGCGAGCAAAGCGAGCATCGGATCCGAAATGAACTTTGAAAGCAGTTCCGGGGGTTGGCGAGCGCCAGCGAGCAGGGGGCGAAGCCTCGTAGTATAAAAATTTAAGACAGTAAACTTTAGCGCTATGATCCGCCATAAATGCACAAAAACAAGTGAAGCACACACTGTAAAAAATTTTGGTGCATAGTTCCCCTATTTTTGGTGTAAACAAAATACATTTTAAATGCAAAATTGAAGTTGTGAAGCAAAAAATTATGTAAAATTTAGAAAATAACAATTGTTTGAAAGATTTATTATATATTACTAAAAATGTGCTTGTTTTTTTAGACGAAATGTTTTTTTTCTCCAATGAAACTATAAATTGAGTCCAATGCGCATGAAAATATGTTTCCTTTGTAGATAAGCAAACAAATAAACAACAAAACAATACATAAAAAATTTAAAAAAAATACGATTCACTACAAAATTAGGAAAATTAGAAGAAGTATTATAGAAAATGAAGAAGTATTTATGGGACCTCTCTGGTCACATTTCTCAAAAATAAAGTCACCAACTTAATGCATAACAAAATTAAAAGTGAAAACAAAAAAATTTCTAAAAAAAATTATCAAACAGCAGCTGTCACCATAGCAACGCATGCGCACTGTTTACTATTACTCTTGATTATGGTGGTTGAAAAGTGTGGTCGCCATGAAATCCAAACCAAGAACCGTTTTGCCAATGGGTCATAAATAAAATTCTATCAGTGAAAAAGTAAATAAACATTATGACAAAATGCATTGTAAAATAATTTAGTTTACCTCAACACCAATAAATGGTGGAAACTATGCAAAATTTTTTACACTTGATGAAAACGGTACCCATTGATAAAATGAGGTTTTCTAAATGCAAATGTTTAAATTGTATCATTGAAGTTATTGTTTTGAATTTATAGATGTAAGGGAAGCAAGAATCGCTTCGATCTAAATTATTATCTAAATATTTATTAGGAACCAAATATGACCGATGTTAGGCTGTTGAAGCATTTTGTGTAAGAAGAGTTTTGAGAAAGAGAGACGAATCTTCCAACAGAAGAAACGTTCAAAATATAATATGTCACAGTTACAGAGAGCCGCGAAGGCTCATGGGATAGAGCGTTCGCCTTCCAATGAGGTGAACCGGCTTTGAATCCCAGAGATGGCTGGTCAATGTGAATTCCGCATCCGGTTTGCATCGACCACAGTGTCGACGTAAAATATCCTCAGTAGTAGACGGATCATGGGTCAGAGTCCCCTTGCCGTTAGGCTAACCATGAGAGGTTTTTGTGGTTTTCCTCTCCATGTAACGCTAATGCGGGTTTGTTCCATCAAAAATTCCTCCACGAAGGCAAAATTTCTCCCAATACTTGATGCAGGAGCTCCCTTGTCTTTTGAATTGGGTTCAAAATGACATGGCTACGGAGTTGAACATTAATAGTCGCAAACCCAAAACAATTGGGTCGGCTATTCAACAACGGTTATTAAATAATATAAAATTACATTACAGAAACATCTCGAATCCAAAAGACTTGAATCTAGTTTTATTTCTCTCTTTAAACGATGAAAAATTCATTTTTATTCAAACCATATTGAAAATTTGGTAGGTTTCGGAGCAATGAAGCATCATGCAAACGTTTAAAATGCTGACGACTTTAAATTTTAGTTTAAAAATTAATAACAAATGTACTAAAAATCTTACAGCTGTACATGAAACACTGCAACGGAATGAGTACTAAAACTTCAAAGATGCGCTTAAATTTACCACTTTAGGCATTTAATACATTTCTGAAATGATAATTATCAGCATAATCCATTACAGCAAAGAAATGTTTTTGAAAAGTAGATACAAGATTTTAAGAAAAATTTCAAAAAATTGAACAACTCAAAGTCTTTTTGAAGTGAAAAAAAACTGTATTTTATTTTGTGAAGCTCTTTCAAAGTCTCCATTTTGTGGAAGAAAATTATCTTTTTAAAAAGTCTCACTAACTAAAGTAACAAATACTATAACATATAAAGTTAGAAACTAAAAAACTTAGAAATTTGTTTAAAAGTGTATATGCTGTACAATTTTCAAGTAAACCGATTAAAAATTGAAAAGATAATCGAAGTCACCGCTTGCTTTTATGATAATAAGGTAAAAACATAAATATGTAAATACATATTATAAGTTTGCATTTAGTATACTACCAAGTAATTTATTTACAGAAACATGCGGCTTTTTAAAGACAAACATTGCAACGTCCTATCTTTAAGCACTTTTTTATAGCACTTCTTAAAAGACTGAATTCTTCTGCATTTTGATACAAAACTAAATAAATACGTAATTAAATAAATGAAAATAGGAATAAAATACGAGTACAAAAATAAATAAATAAATATAAAAAAGCTTGAAAATAAAACTAAATTCTGTTTATTTGGCAATACATGCAATATTTAACTTAAACTTAACAGAGAATAGTTCTGCCAAGTTATAGCTACTATAGTTGCTTAGTTTTTTTTTAAAAACTGAATTCTATCATTTTTCAGAAAATTTATTGTTGGGTAATAAGTATCCCTTTGTCGTTCTAAGATCAACTGAAAAATTTAAAAAAAAAAAATTCCTTGGAACAAAAGTTTAATTAGCATATAATATTACACTATATTAGCATGATATAATAAAAATTAAATTGATACCAAAAAGATATTTAAGTTTTGAATTGAATTCTTGATCAACTTAAATATTTAAAAAAATTAAATATTTAAAAAAATTTTATTTAACTTATTCCACTTCAAAAAAATGTTAATGCATATTTATGTATAATAATACTTATATTTATATGATATTAATATGTGTATCATAAATTGTAGGATTAGTGCTAGTGTATGAAGTAATGCACCCGGAAGAGACGGATAAAAGTAGTGCAAAGTACTGCAACGCATATCTTTATTGGCTGGGATTTGTTTATTTTCATACATTTGTATTGACTTCAGTGGCAACGCTGGTTGCTATGATCATAGTTCCATTCTTTTATTTATTTAAGAAAAATAAATATGTGTTTAATCAAAACATTGATGTTGAATAAAACTGAATAAAAAATAATTAATTTATAACTTTCTGTAGAGTCTTAGGAATGATTATATTAAGTTTTATTTTAGCTTTATACTTTCCTATTTATTTCCCAGAAAGGTTAAATAAGAAAAAAAATAGTGAATATAAAAGTTATGAAATCAAAGTAGCAGAAAATTTGTTTATATTTTTTTTCTGAAACTAAAGACTAAAAATGACATTAATCAGTATAAAATGCAAACTACAATACGTTTTCCTAGAAGATTTGTTGTTTTGTTGTTCAATTGTGTTCCTCCTTCAAATGATTTTGCATATTTTAATCACTTTTACTGAAATAAAATGTAAATCGGTTTTCCCTTTCCACAAGTGAATGTCCATTATGAGTAAAAATATTGTACCATATTATCTAAAATATAAGGTGAATTTGTCTCAATAATTCAGAACTTTTTGCATTGTTCATTTATTTTTTATGTGTCACTGGTGTCAAAATTATAGAATTGTGTTGTTTTGTACCGTTCACCATCCTTTTATGTACCTGCACCGAGCCATTCGGTGCCTGGAGAAAAATCAAAGAAAAGTCTTCCACTGAAGAATACTCTAAAGAAGAGGAAAAATATGTCATTTGGTAGAAACACATGCAAAATTTCAAGGGGGAAATTCTTGATCATTCTTTATATAGTCCAGATTTCGCCCCTTCGGAATACCAATTACTTATCCCCACGAAAAAACACCTCTATGGGCAGTTCATACACTGCAAGCGATTCTCAACGGGTTACGGTTACAGTAAAGGAAACAGGACCAAGATTTCTATGACTAGGTCATGAATGATTTACGTAAGTTTGCACTAATTGTTGTAAAATAATTTAAGTCAAGAAAATTTAAGGAATTGATAAAGTTAATAAGCAGCTAATTTCATAAGCAATTTATATTCATGCTAAATAATAACGTTGATAATTAATTACAAGTTTAAGAAATAAGAGGTAATTCGCAAAACATAATATATGCGGAGAAGAAATCAATTGATTGGGAAAAAAATCGATTGCAATAGTGAAAATCAAAACAAATAGAGAAAATAAAAAATTACCGTAATGTATATTAATTACATTTCTGGTAAATAAAACATAATTCTGGTTGTAAATATCAAAATATACGACATTTAAACTATTCATTTGGAAAACAACCATTTTGGTAAATTTTCAAAATTATACTCCTTACTACCAAATATTTTGTAAAAAATACAAAACTGAAAATTAAATTTAACCGAATGAATGTTCTTTATGCCATGCTCTAAGGCGTAATGATAAAATTACCAAATTTTGCCTCAATTTTACCCAATTTTATCACATATTATAAAACCCTACTTTATTGCTAATTTTACAAAAAACATTATCAAAGCGCTACGGTAAAAATTATCAAGCCTTTTCTAGTTCCCATAGTATAATTTACCTAATTCTGGTATTTTCACCATACCATTTTTCTCAGTGTAGGCATACAAAACTCGTGAGATAAATTAGTATCGTAACAGTCTTAAGTGGATTATGTCGTGCTTCTTGTTCAAGGAAAAAAAAATCTAAATGGCTGTTTTCTTTACTAGCTGAAGAATATTGTTTTCTAATATCATTCGGTTCGTTTAAATGTGTATACATTTTTTGCTTACGTCGCAGATTCTGTGGATACACAACTGTATTCAAGTAGCTTAATAAACCCTGTCTAAGGATGTTTTGCACTTTGCATGAAGAATTGTGAAAAAAATTTATGCTTACATTTTAAACACTATGTAAAGAACGTTGGTAACATTTTTATAATCATAACATTGATGAATATTTCAGACAAAACTCCTTATAAATTTTTATTATTCTAAATTTTTTGTTGATTTATTTAAGCTACAAAGAACATATTTGAGTCAATTGTATTTTTAGTTTGAGAGTTATGTGAAATTTATTTATTACATATCTTGGTTTAACGAGTTTCCTGGTTAAACGAAGAAATTTTAATAAATGAATGGTTTCATGTTAAAAAGCCTATATACAAACCTTTGTCACGACGAGCATAACTTGACATGATTTAACGAGACATTTTTCATAAAATTCTCGAAATTATTTTATCAAATCTGCCAGAAAAAATAATTATCTTGACTGCTCCTGAAAGTTTTATTCACTTCTAAGGGAGTTTAAAAGCAACCTTTTAAGTTCAATGCCTAAACATTGCATGTTGACACGCAGTCAATATAAATGCTCATATATGTTTTGCAGCGAATCATACAGCCAGTTGAAGTCACGGTGCTGCAATGGAAGATGTTGCTAAACAAACCATTGGATAGATTCTATATTTATTACTCTTTCTGTTGCTCACGCGTTTGCGAGTATGTTCACCAGCCAATGTTCGCAAAACGCAGAATCTGTCAATAATGGGTACGAAACAAATCAACCAACTCCAGCCATAGTCAAAAAATTGCAAAAACGTTAAAAATAATGTAGGTTGCGTGTTGTACAATACGCCAAAAAAAGGGCGACCCTAATTGATTAATTAATTAATTGAATTAATAAATTTTGATCTATTGATTGGATCTTCACGTTCAATCTTAATGGTTCAAGGGATCTCACATATGCTAATTGATAAATGCAGACTATATTTCAAGTTACGAAATCAGACATAAAAACGTACATTCACTGAATAAACATACCTTTTTTTCCGACGGATTTGGATTTCTGATCCCCAAGATATGGGGAGTAGATGCAATCTTGCAAATAGGGTCTGCATAGTTTGATCAGGTGAGGGCTCCAAAGTTAGGACCCCTTAATGTTATTTTTACTTTTTGCGTATTTCGCTATATCTCTAAAACTTTATAAGTGAATTGAAAATTTGTTACACACAATTATAAAATTCGTTTAACCAACATTAATTCCATGCGAACAATTTTTTTTGTAAATATTTATTATTATTTTATTTAGTAATTGTCGAAATTTTTTTAAATATTAAGGTGTAAAATTTTTTGCATTTTAAAGAATATAATTTTACGTGACAAAAGGCAAAATTTGTGCAAACTCGGTCGAATAGTTCCTGAGAAATCAAATTTTAAATATTTGACTTTTTGAAATTTATTTTCTCAGGAACTAATGGACCGATTTTGCTCAAATCGAATTTTTTTAAAAATTTGTATAGAAATAATAAAAAATAATAAATAGTTACTAAAATTTTTTTGTTGCATGGAATTACTTTTGGATAATCAAATTTTATAATTGTGTGCAAAAATGTTTCAATTCGCTTAAAATTTTTTCGAGATATAGCGAAATACGCAAAAAGTAAAATAAACATTAAGGGATCTAAATTTTGGAGCACTCTCCAGATCAAACTACGGAGACCATATTTACTAGATTGTGGCTAACCCCAATTTTTTTTTTTTTTTTTNAGGTTAAATTTTTTTTTTTTTTTTTGGGGGGGGGGAGGGTCAGAAATCCGAATCCGTCTAAAAATAAAAAAAGGTGGGCTTATTTAGGGAAAGTACGATTTTGTGTCTGAACTCGTAACTTAAAATATTGTCTGTAGTCCTAGAACGTGAAAATCCGATCATTTTATCAAAAAGTTATTCAAAGTGTCCGTTTTTGTTTGTTTGTTTTGTTTTGTTTTGCGCAATCTTCTTCAAAACATAATATCGGAGAAAAGTTCATAAAGTACAATTAAAATATTTTCACATTACTTATCGTCAAGTCGTTTTCAAATGTTTTTTAGTTCTTTTTTGCGCATTATAGATTTTATTTTTTTTAATTTTTTCGACTCAGATTTAACGAGCGAGTTTCATAACGAGATCGGTTATTATTTTCTAAACTGCTATTTTCACGGTTTATTATTTTAATTTCAAAATAAAAACGATGACATATTATTTGAAGAAACTTTTGACTAACATATAATTTATTTACACTTATTTTGGTGCTTTAGTGGCATAATATATATAATTTTGTCTACTTTCTTATCATTATTTTACACTATAGTATCTGTTTACGTGCACGTGATTTTTATTTAATTTTTCAGTTGCGTTCATACCATTATAAATAATGATACAAATGTAGGAAAAAATTACCATGAATTATTATTATTTTTTTTAAAATAAAAAGACATTTTAAAAAAGAAAAATTTAAAATAAAACTCGGAGTTCAATTGAAAGACAAACCTTAATTTTGTTACTATAACTGCAATAAAAAATTCTCTACGCAACTTTTCACAAACACAAACAAAGTATACATCAACAAAGCTCTTTTTATTGGAGCTGAGATTAAAATAACACTCAACATAGAGGCTAAAGATCACCTGGGCTACCCTAATATCAGCCCATCCTACATTTTTATGGTCATTAGTTCTCGATTGTGCGTTGGAGGGCGCCACCCATAGTTCTGAATAGTCAAACATAAACAAGGCTTGAGAAAATAGAAGAAAAGTTTCTCTCCCACACATGAAGTAAAAAAAAAAGTTTATTTGCCATGTTTACTAACCCTCATTGAAAAGCCCGACCATTTTGTAATAGATTTTATGACTCGCTGTAGCATACAATCCCGCCAAATTCGAGAGATGAGATTTGCAATGTTGATTATGCTGCAGGCTATGAAAAAATTGGGTGTGTTGGATTTGGTTTTTAAAAGTGGAGCCATATTTTGCACGCCTTTAGGAGTGATCTGAGGTTAAATAGATATGTTGAAAGCATGTGGTTAAACTTTTAAACAAATGAGGATTTCTTTTTTTATTCGCGATTTACATACTTATCTTTTTGCTAATTAAAACAGTCACACAGATGAGGCATTCTTTTTTATTTGAAGGTCTCATAGGAGTCGTGAAGCAATTGCACCTATAATTATAACTTTGTTATGCAACCGGACGTTTGTAATTTTAATGTTAATGGTTGGAAGGGGTGACCTCAAAAATGCACTAATTAATCAGTGCAGACGATACTTTTAAATACGAAATCAGACACAAAAACATAATTTCTTTCAATAAACATACCTCTTTTTTTCTATGAATTTGGATTCATTACCTTCAGAATATAGGGAATAACCGCAATTTTTGAAATAGGGTCCCAATAGTTTGATTAGGAAAGCGGTTCAATTATGGACACCATCATGTCAACTCTACTTCTTGCGTATTTCGCTATGTCTGGAGAATTTTTTAAGGGAATCGAAAAGGCTTTGCGTATAATTATAAAATTCGTTTGCCTAAATATACTTCCATGCGAAAAAATATATCCTTTAAAAATTATTTTTAATATTTTCTATTACTTTACTCGGTAATAATCGAAAAATTTTGAATTGTCGCATATACACATTTTTTCTTCTTTCATCATTTTTAAATGATGCAAATTTTTATTGCAAAATTCAAAGTTTGAATGAAATCGGTCGAATACTTCCTGAGAAATTGAATTATAAATGTATGACACTATTATATATAACACGGATTTTAAATGTACGACATTGAATTCGGTCGGAAAAAAGTATGTTTATCCAGAGAAAGAGGTTTTTGTGTCAGATTTCGCAACTTAAAATACCTTCCACATAAATTAATTGTATGTTTGAGCTTACCCTTTTAAACCCTTTAGATTGAGTCCTAGTATGTGAAGATCCGATCATTGGATCAAAAGTTGTTTAGGGTGCTATGTTACTTTTCTTGCACGCTGTATATCAGCATTGAATCCAGCCGGGAGCAGTATTGTCTGTCTAACAAAAGAAATCCCCTCTCCTGTTATCTAGCTAGAGCAAAATCTGGGACACTGGTCTATAGTTTATCTAAAGTAAGAACTCTCCTAGCCATTCGTCTGGATCCGTGGCGGTGTCAATGGTAACGAGGTATAACTACTTCAAGTAGGGGTGTGGGGTCACTGTTTAGGAGAGGTTTTGGCTCGGGTGTTTGAGAGAAAGGGAATCTTTTTCTTCTGTCTATTGTATTAGCCCTAGAGTGAAGAGGAGCTACCTTCCCTGAAATGAGCTATTCTTGTTTCCATGGCGGCAGATGGGAGGAGTTCTTACCGTAGACAAACTATACATTTGAGTCAGCGAGAGAAGTGTATCTAAGTCTCTTTTCTTTGAAATGTGTTTTTTCTTGTTTCCGAAGTAGTAGAAAGTCTGATTTAGCCCTCTGACGGTTCTGCACTTAAAAAGTCGTATTTTAACCTGCAGTCTTCTTCGCATATCATAGCCGATTTTTCCATGCTATTAGATAGGGAAATAATGTATTGGGGAGAAGCATTCTATTCCATTTACTAAATCGCAAATGGGCTAAAGGCTGGAGAATAATTTTAGTTCGACAGATATTGTCTGTGGTATCTGCTCCTATTTAATGCAAGTAAAAGAACATTTGCCTGAGGTGAGTGTCAGGTACTTCTTTCGCCGAACCGAATCAAATCATCTCCTAAATGTCATCCTTACTTGAAATATTTTAAGCTCGGAAGCATAGTCATCGACAGTGCTTTAGACAGCTGGAGAGAAAAGTTCTTTCGTTAGTAAGTCAGTATACATGTAGCCATGGCTTGGATATAAACAATCGGCTCCGCTACTTTCCGAGCCTTTAAATTTTTTTTTTTAGAAAATGAAGAAGATGATTTTAATTTTCGAAATAACATCAAAACTCAGTTAAACAGATTTCCATTTTATTTTCAAAACTGGCTGACTAAAATAAAATATAAATAAAAAAAACCATTTCTGAATTATATATTTAGTGACAGATTTTAAAATATAAAGTTAAATAACAAAGTAGAGAACGACGTATGAAGTAAAAATATTTTTACTATTTTATTTATGCTTGATCTGTTACTGTTCAGTTTCTTTTATTAAAACACGAGGTATCTATTTTCTTTATATTTTAAATACATAGACGTTAATAATTTCATAATTGGATTTACAATTGTTCGAACAATTTGGTCTAGGAAGCAAAACACAATATTATTTACAATAAAAATACATAAATCCGAAGTCATCTCTAATCATCACTTTGAGAGAAAAAAAAGGAATGCAAAAGCACATCTGCGTGTTTTAGACTCAAAAGCAATCGGCATTTCAAATCAGCATTCAAATTATCATCGAACTCAAAACAGCTTATTGCTTTATATGAATGGATAATGTTTCACTTTCGAGAAATTAATATGTTTAATAAATATTTTTATCTAAGAATTTTTTTAATTAGTTACAGTTAATAATTCCGATTGATTATAATTCGGGTGAAATTATATTATTAGCAATACATATCATATTTAAATACAAACGATCATATTTTGTAAAGAAAAAAAAAAACCCGCCGAACATTCATCCTTTCTATAGTTTCAAAATAGTAATTGTAATAAGTTTTACTGCGAGGATAATGAAATCGTTTAAGGAATGATAATAATATATCTAACTTTTCTGTGTAAATTAGTTTAAACCATTTTATTTAAAATAAAGTCATCTGAAATTAGAATGTCGAATAGTTCTTGAGAAATGAAAATTTGAAATTGCAATTTTTCTCGCCATTACAACTTTCAGAATTTATTCAATAGATTTTACTCAAACTTAGCAATTTGTCATTAAACATTACATAGTTTAAAATGAAGTGAAAAAATTAGCACTTTTCCTCCGAAAACTTTTTTGTTCATTATTAAATTTAGTAATAAAAAACAATAAACAATCTTAAAAAAACTATATTTTGAATGAAATTATCTTTGGATAAATGAGTCTTGCAATTGTATGCAAAAACTTACAAATAGTATTCTTATTTAGTTTCAGACACATTAAAAAATGAACTAAGTTAAATTGATATTAGAAGTTCCAAACTTTCGACCGCTTTCAATTCTCCATCTCCCCACACTATATTTTGAGAAGGCAAAATATCCAAATAGATGTTTTTTAGACGTTTTTGTGTCTCAATATGTAACTTCGTCTGTAACAGTTCATCAGCGGATTTAATTTTAGGTCCACAAATTGGTCTATTATTACGGGTCTAGTCCTCAAATGAATCCATCTAATCAGAACGTGATAACCAGAAAATCGATTATTATTTATAGATGGAAAGTTTAGTTTGAATATTTTATGATTTACAAATTTATAAAATAAATAAAATATTGGTAGTAAATAAATAAAATATTTATAAAAAAGTGATAATTTCACATATAACAAACATTAAGCAGAGTATGAATCAATTACTTTAAAACATTAAGTTTTTTAAACAAAATAAAAGTCTTTTAAGAGAAGTAACTTTCATTCTGTTAAAATAATTTTACACTATTACAGAAAATTAAGTAGACCATAACAATTTTACACTTGATTGAATGACTTATGAAATTTAAAGAGAAAAAAAAAATTCTGGTTTTTCATTGAAATAGTGTATTAAACAATCAGTAAACTAATATTATTTTCTTTTTTTTCTTTCTTTCTGTGCTTTTTAATTGACTTCAATTAGAAAAAAAGCTTGAATTTTTCACACATGCATGCATATAATATATATATATATGTATGTGTGTGTGTGTGTGTGTACGCGCGCGCGAGCGTATAATTTAACGCATAAAATAATAGCATAGGTTTCGCATTCTTTATGATATCAGTATAATAAAACTGAAAAGTGTTTTCATTTTCATTAGTGTTAAGTGTTCAACAACAATTGTTAACAATTACGTAATATTAACAATAGCATAAATTAAAAAAAATAATACCAGTAAAGTTATTAGTTCCAAAAACTAAACCAGTAAAATCTGATTCAGTTCCTTTGAAAGTATTATTAATTATAAAATACTATCAATTAGTGGTTTCTACCACTTAGTTAGCACTAGTTCTTAAACAATTAGTATTAATAATTAGTGTAATTCTTACCCTAAAACCACTTTCTTAACAGCGCATGTTTTTTTTTAGCTTAACCGATTTCTTGTACTTCAAAAAAAAAGGAAAAAAAAATATTGAATACTGACAAGAAGAAAAAGTTATTGTATATTTCATAGAGCTTTAAAATTTATAAAGTTCTGTTGTGATTATTATAACAATGATGATATTAATGGCGATGTTGATCGAAAATTTTTTATGCCTAAAGTTGCAAATTTAAATAATATTTAAAATAAAAATTGAAAATCTTAAACGTCATAATCTGAAGTAAATAAATTAAATTTTTATAAAGGAGCGAAATATCGAAATATTTTCTTTTTAATTTGTCACTTAACAGAGAAGCGAAACGTTTTTTAAGTTAGAAGAGTATTAGTTTTTGTTTCTAGAGGGCGCTGTTCATCGCATTCTTGGAGGAAAGATCAGAGATTTGATTGAGGTAGAAAAAGATAATGCTCTCCAACTTCATTCTGACTTTCGTCGGAGAGTTTGCATCTTTCTCTCTTTCTAGATGGAGAGGTGGATTTTTCAAGAATAACAAAACGTGTTTGTAAGAAGAGTTTTAGAAATTCAATAGGATTACTGCACATTGGTTTATATTTTGATAAGCAGCATTGTCATATAAGGTAAGATTCAACCATCTTAATATAAATTGCTATAATCTATAACAAGTAAAGTCGAAACTGATAGTTTATTAAATCATTGTAACTTTCATTTGTTGAACTAAAAAACTAACATTGAGTCATTTTATACTCAATTTTTAATAAATATAACTAGATTCTTTAATAAAATGAGAAATTCCTCTTATACCTCGAGGAATTATTTATTATTTTTCTTGCTTAACTAATCATATAAAAGTTCTTAAATAAAATCCCTTGATCTCTTAATCGTTATCGTACTTCCATGAAAAATGAGGAATATCACTATAAATTTCAACAGTAAATGTTAAACATTTATAAATTTAAAAGAGTAAATTTAATAAAGCACATTATCATGCAATAAAAGTTACTATAGGTTTAAGAAAATTAGCTTGAAAGTGTGAATAAAACAACAGTGCTATGAAAATATAGAAAAAATGCGAAAGTTTACCAATTATTTAGTATTAAAAGATTGTATTAAAAGATTATTTCATTCATAGTACATATTATCATAACGTACCAGGTTTGGAGCGTACTAGGGTAAGGAGCAAACTTACTCAACAGGGATTTTTTTGCTCTTCTATTCAGCTCCATTCCTGATTATGGAATTCTTCTTCATACTCATGAATGTTTTTATGAAAGAAATAGAGACAACAGAATTTAAATATTCTTGATATAGATTATGCTTACGTATTGTTCTTGAATATTCATATGCATCAGAAATGAATATATGATTCATAAACAGAACTGCAACAACAAAGAAAGCATGTACATTTTTGAATATTATTACTCCTGTTATTTTTTTGTATTTGAAAAATGATATTACGTATAAATATTAAGAATTTATGGGGGACCTTAAATTAATGTATCCTATAATTTAGGCCAACTTTCTTTATTTGATACGCTTATTATGTTTTAGTAACATTTCTGGCTATTATTCTACACTATAAATACACATTAATTTAGTGTTAATGATGGAATAACAGTGTTAATGATGGAATACATTTAGGATTGTTTTTATGATGGATGTTATTTTGAATGCTATGCCTCTATCTCTTAGAAATTTTTAATTATACGGTATGATTTTTCAAAGTAATAAATTCATTTTCCAAATTCATTTAATCACTATTTCGAAAAAAATAAAGATTATAAATCACCACTTTTAATTTGATAATTATGATTTTACTATACACTTTCAAAAAAATTTAACCATAACATAGTGCAAATTTGCTGCAACCATATATCATGTTTCCGAATGCATCGAAACCATACCATTCCGAATAACAAATACATTGGAAGCATAACACCCAGACGATAAATATATCCGAATCATATTATACTGCAAATTTTCTTGAATGTGTTAAATGGAAACATTTTGCCGTTCATGTTGAGCTATAGCACCGTGTCATCAAAACTTAAGAAGTGTAATAATACGATTCAATTTAGCACCATATTATGGTTACAGAAAATTTAAATGAAATTAAGGTTCAACATTCTTCAGTATTTCTAGCAGTGCATAAATAATTTAGTACTTCTCTTAATTTCAAGTATGGACGTGTGTACGGAGCATTATTATTTATTCTAGCATTTTTTACACGATAGTAACATATTTATTTTTCACTCGAATTGTAATTTTTATTTTTAATTTTTTACCAATAAAATATTATGGACAGAAACTTTGTTGAGAATATATTGAAATAATATCTAAAAAAAAAATTATAATCTATCACTAAATATTAAAATGCAGCTACATTTTTATTATCTAATACATTTTTATTATTTAAAACATAATGTTTAAAAACGAATATATCAATTTGAACAGAAATTATGGAATTCACAGAGCGATTAAAATCTCCAATTATTTTTTCCATTCCAGTTAATTATAAAAAAAATAAAGGGGAAAATTATAGAAGCTGTTGATATCAGAGAATTTTCCTCCTGTAAGACGTGCCGTGCCGCCTGGTGCAGATCACCTCAGCTGCCCCCTTGCTCTGTCCCTGCTTAGTCGTTGCAGAAGCTCGCTACTCTAGAATATCAGAGTGACCAATGAAAACACTATTTCATTATATCCTTTTCGACGATTCAAAATGGCCCCAGAAAAAAAACAAAAACAATTTTATTTGAATGCTTGAGCATCCATTGCGTTAAAAAAATAATGATTAAATATCTAACATCCCAAGCTGCAGTCTTTTTAATGACATTTTTAGTATATTTTTCGTCGAAAACTAATGTAATGTCGAAAGGAAGCTGTAGTATTGTTTGTTCATGTGTTTCTGAACTGGTCATAATAGGCATGAGCCTCTAGCCGCGTATGATTATATTTAGGGGCATGGGTTATTGTGCAATTTTAATTCTGATGTTGTGCTCTGAACCCCCCTAGGAACGAAAACTTAAAACTTTACAGAAACTTTATGTTTAAGTACATAAATAGTTTAAATATTTAAAAAATGCTCTTTTTTAAAGAAAAAATTATCGCTAATTTGGCGAGATTTTTTTCTAGCTAGATAAAAATCGTAGAAATTTAAAGAATAATCTTCCTTTTTGCACAAATGTTATACGTCAAAATTTTGCAGAGTTGGAGCAACTTTTCGAATATTGAAAAAAATAGGAGCACTATCACTTTTTAGTGTTACAAAACTGCAGTTTTTCTTCATAATGGCGTTTTGAGTTTGTTTTCGTAATTAACATTAAAAGAGCTTGTTCAGGATAAACTCACCGCATGAAAAGCTGTCAAACTCACAATTGTCTCACAATCAGCTGATCAATACGAATTTCGCTCCCGGTTCGCTTTGACAACAATGTTGACGTAAAAATGTTCTAAGCGGTAGACGTACTATGGGTCAGACTTCTCTTCGCTAACAGTCGGGATAACCATGGAAGGTTTTCCTCTCCATGTAATACAAATATAGATTAGTTTCATGAAAAGAGTTTTCTTGTTCATGAAGGCAAGTTTGTTCCAATGCTAAATACAGGCGCTCCCTTGTCTTTTGAGTTGGGTTCAAAATTACGTAGCTATGAAGTTGAACATTGATTGTCGTAACACCATTATAAAATAAAATGAAACTCACAATAGTAGCCAAGAGCTCACTAACCACAAAAAGTGTTATTTTATAGACTTTCCGAAAAACAGCTCTAAAATGAAAGCCAATGCTTCTAAGATAAACAACTTCCCCACTGCACCTGATTTATTTGTACTTTTCGTACAAAATTTGTATATTAGAGATTTATTTATTATTACCTGGTTTGTGCATAATAATGCATTGTATGAAAGTTTTCAGAAGTATGCTTTGACTACATATACTAAAATAATTTGCAATTTCGAAAAAACAAAATGTGAAGCATTGAAACGATTAATCTGAAGATACTGAGGGAGAAACACATTCCTTCGAATAATAAAATACTTATTCGCTTCGTAAAAAAGAAAGTTTGAAGCAAGTGTCAATCTCTTGACCACGTCGGTCATTTTCAAGACATCGACATACATAAAGGATGAGAAACGATTTTATTAGCGTTGGTTAAAATTCCAATAAGCAAGCATAGTATTGTAATGAGATGTTTTAAAATGAAATGTTATAATGAATTATTATATAAAATAAATATATTCATGTTCGGTAATATGCAAAATAATTAGCCAAAATGATGAAATTGTTTTAATTTTATTATGCTAGTTTAACGTTAAGGTTCGTATTCATATTTATAAGACATTGTGTAAATCATTCAAATTATTATAATCACAGTACATTTTTATTATCAAAAGAAGAAGAATGAAAGGAAAAGGAAAGATTTTTTATACCTCATCTTTTTCGAAGTTTTAAAAAGAAGAGTATGAAATTATAAATATATTTTTGTAAGAAACAAATTGTTTTTATAACAGAGTAATAAGTTCGATTCTAACGATCGTTTTCTCAAATCTTGCTTATTTGGCTAATTCTCTGTTTCTAACGAGGAGTTGTATTTATTTAGAATTTTTTTCCCCTCAGTTTATTATTTTCAATAATAATACGAATAAATGCTAGCTTAAATAAAATAGTCATTTGTACAACTCATTCTGTGTTTTTAAGGATGAGCATTACTTATTTTTTTTTCTCATTAAAGCTTATCATTTTATAAAAAAAAATACATTAAAGGTGACTTTCAAAAACATTTTACTACAAATTTTGGATTTTGTCATTTAAAATTACGCGTACACTCTTAGAAAAATCAGTTAAACGTTGAACCGTAACATCGCACCTTGAGCCATAATAGGGTGAACATCTGCCACGAACCTAATAAGGGGGGGCTATTTCATTTTAATAAGCGGCGTTGAACAGCCGACCCGAATCTGAGTTTACGATGTTCAACTTCGTAGCCTTGTAATTTCGAACTCAATCCAGAAGACAAAGGAACTGTTAGATCAAGCATTGGAGCAAACTAATGGAATTAACTAGCATTTGTTAAGTGGAGAAGAAAGCCACGAAAACCTCCCAAGGTTAGCATGACGATAAAGGGATCTGCCTACCACTAAGGATGTTTTATGTTAGCACTTTGGTTGGTGCGAGCCAGGATCAGAATTTATAACAACCTGCCATCGCTGGAATTCGAACCTGGGTCCTCTCAATGGAAGGCGAGTGTTTATCCCCTGAGCCACCGGGATTCTAATTAGAGGTTAAAATGAAATACGTTTCTGTTCATGTTGAACCATTATGTCATGTCATCAGATTTAAAATATACGTTAATATGGTTGAGCTTAGCGGCATATTCAGATAGCAGCAAATTTGAAACATGCATTATTGTTCACATTTCTAACAGTGCTGCACGCTGAATTTGATTGAATTAAATTTCAGTTTAAAATATCGTTTAAACTGTAAGATATTTATTTAGGTAGAAAAGAGATTTAGTTGGGAAAGGCCTAACTTCAATTTTTTTTTTATAAAATCTCATTTATTGGTTTTCATTTTTGGGAGTGCTATCGTGAATGTATTCTCGAAAAAAAAGATCCTTAAAATTTT